ATCATGAGAGACCCATTGAGATACCCTCAATGGGGGTTTAATATACAAATTATTTGTCTTCTCTCTAAATCGAACCCATATCTGATATAACAACACATAAAACTTTGGTCGATCACAGTGGACCAAGGTGCTATCATTATTTAACTTTATAATTCGTAGATGATGTTTGACAAAAAAAAAAAAAACTTTATATAAATGTAACTATCTCACATGTAGTAGTGATGGAATTAGTATACATGACATGAGATTTGCTCCAATTCACTACGAAAATTCAAATATTTAGAATGAGTCGTATTCAAATCCGGAAAGTGAAATCTCAAATCTGTCGAAACCGAATCCAAATTTAGATATCGTGATTTCAGTGCGCAAAAATTCAGAAAGATTTAATTCGTTTAAAATATTGATTATATTATGTGGTTTTATATAAAACTTAATTTTATTTCCTTTAATATTATGTCAAATTTTAGCTTCAAAAACATAGAAAAATTCATTTTCTAAGTTTTTGTACTTTTACATATAGATTTTTTGGATGTATATATGGATTCAGACATCCTCAACTATTATTATGATTGTGCGGATATCAAAATCTGAATATCCAGAAGTTGTAAGATCGTATGATTATATCCGCAGATGTTTGGTAAAAAGATTAATCTTATCATTTGAGAAAAATAGAAAGTGTTCAATTGGAACATGAAAACGTGACCAAGTTTGTTCTAGTTGGTACAAAGTAGTTGAAGCTAGATTGGATCCGACAGATCGAGATCCGTCCTACCTCTACATGCATGTAAGTAGTAAATGCAAACGTGAATCATGTTATGAATACTTCTCAACTTCAATCAACCACATGGATCAATTAATGAGAACTATTACTTTTGTTTGTTATAAAAAAATGTTTTCGCGCAAGCCAACTTTCTAAACGCGCCTCGACGTTGTTATCGATGAATTCATATTAACTTTCGACCATAAGTAAACTGTTTTACTTTGTGTTTACGTAATTGAATATTTATCCAAGAAATCAATAAACGTGATTAATTTAAAAAAAAAAAAATCATAAACCCTTCCACAGTTCCACGATAAATATGGTATCAGCATTCCAACTTAAAAGGATCAAACCAAGGCGAAAGATGGAAAATCGAGAAGCTCTAGTTTATACTCTCATCTCCATCTTTCTCTCGCTCCAATTCTTGTTTTGGAAATTCCGGCTGCGTTAAAATGAAGTTACGTCTGCGTTGAGGCTGACCCGCCACCTTAACATCCGCCAACTGACGTCGGCCGCAAGCCATGACTATGAGTTCATGTCGTATATGATAAGTAAGGCTACGTCCGTCAATAAGGCACTAGATGAGGCTGTTCCACTCTGCGAGCCAGTACTCAAGATCCGTGAGGCCATGAGGTACACGCTTCTCTCGGGCGGAAAACGCGTAAGGCCAATGCTTTGCTTGGCTGCATGCGAGCTCGTGGGCGGCCAAGATTCAACCGCAATGCCAGCTGCGTGTGCAGTTGAGATGATCCACGCGTCGTCTCTCATCCAAGACGATCTCCCTTGTATGGATGATGACAGTTTCCGCCGCGGAAAACCCACCAATCATAAAGTTTTTGGAGAGGATATAGCCGTCTTGACCGCTGATGCGCTCATAGCTTTGGCGGTCAAGAAGCTGGTGACATCCACTTATTTTGGCGTCTCTCCAGAGAGGGTTCTACGGGCCGTTCTGGAGATGGCGAAAGCGGTAGGAACGGAAGGGCTTGTTGCTGGTCAAGCCGCTGATCTGGCCGGAGAACCGATGAGCTTGGAAGAGGACAAAGCCGGATTGGAACATCTTGAGTTTATACATATTCACAAAACTGCGGCGTTGCTCGAAGCGGCAGCTGTTATAGGAGCTATAATCGGAGGTGGCTCTGATGAAGAGATCGAGAGGCTTAGGAGATATGCTAGATGCATTGGGTTGGTGTTTCAGGTGGTCGACGATGTGCTGGACGTGACAAAGTCATCGGAAGAGCTGGGGAAAACAGCCGGTAAAGATTTGATCGCCGGAAAGCTGACGAATCCGAGAGTGATGGGAGTGGAGAAGCGCGGGAACATCTTCAAGGGTTTGATTCAAACAAGGTGGTTCCGTTAATGTCTCTCGCTGATTACATTGTCAACAGAAAAAACTGATGAGACAAATTAATTACTACTGCTCAAAGGCTGTTAATAACAAATTAATGTATCCAATGAAAAAAGAGAACAAATTTTGAATATGTTTAAAAAAAAATACACGAGCGAGACCCATATAGAAATTTAGGCAAGATTCTAATGGCCCTTGTGATCAAGTAATGCGGCTCTTTGACTATTTATACTTTTATAGGCCCTTCCATTTCTTTGTCTAATTAAGGTATTCTCTTGTCTGTTTCTAACCAATTTTTTTTTGATAAAATGTGAATATTATTACCAAACGGAAAAGTTTTTACAAAAGCTAGAAAGCAAGGAACTTCAATGGCCCAAAAAAAAAGAGTAAAAAACCAAGAAGTTTAGTAGAGCAACATTGCATTTGGGAGTAGATTAACTAAATCTAGACCATTTGGAAAGCAGACCACAACATCCTTTGCGAAATCTCCTGGCAAGTAATGTATCCCTTATGGATCGATCAATCTGCATGAAAATGTTGTCCGAAGTAAGAGATACCATTATGTATCCTACTGTTCCGTTCTTTCCATAACCCATAAACCGTTGCTTGCACAACAATTCTCTTCAAGGTAGTCGATGTACCGTTTCTTGATCTAGTCAAAAGCCAAGACATCATTGTTCTCGAGGACTGGAAAGTACGTACAGAGCCTAATCGGTGTAGGATTTGATTCTAAATCAGAATGGAGAATGTGCAGTTAACAAGTAAGTGATCTCTTGATTCCACTTGAGCAGAGCAGAACGTGTACATCGAGTCCGATATCATTCCCCAGTTTGCCAGTCTCTTTTAACCGGTAAGCGATTGAGGTTGGCTGTCCAGAATGTGAAGGAATGCTTCGGCACTCCGAATTTGCACCACACAGCCTTAGACCAATGCTTCCGCTGAGTAGAAGGTCTTAGTGATTCCCATATGATCCTGGTGGAGAAGCCACGTCCAGCTTGATTTATCTCACCCCAAGAGTAGACATCAGATTCCATGTTGTTATCCGGAGGGTCGTAAGTTCTTAGAAGGTCTTTAACATTGCGGATAAGACCATTCCTAGACCTTGATTGAGCAGACCAGTCGCGAGCATTTAAGGCCTGTCTCACCGTGCTCTGTAATGGTATTCCCATTATCCTCGGACCCGAATCCCCAATATAATCCTTAAGACAGCCCAATATTGACCAGTTGTCAAACCAAAACCGTGCTGTGTTCCCGTCATTTAGTTCACAACGTAGCATAGTCTTCACTGCTGGTTTTA